CCCGGAGCCGCCCGCTGGATCCTGATTCACTCCCCGCCGTGCACACGCGGCTCCCCGGCCACACTGCTCGGGGCATGTCGGGCTGTGACTCCACAGACACTTGCGTTTGTGTCCCTCCCTCTCGTGTGTCCCGTCCCCCCGCCGTCCCCTTTGCTCGTTTCACAATCAAACCTTCCTCTCTCCCAAATCCGGCTGGATTTTCTCTTTTCTCCCCCAGCAGAAGGGTTTTATTTTGCGTCTCAGCCGGTACAAACTCCCAGCCCTCTCCCCTCGCTGCTGTCTGCCGGAGGACTCTGCTTCTACCTAAACAGTAAACGCCGGCAGCTTGAAACCTTGTCACTAATTGAGTGGTAACACTTCAGGTGCGGTAGATTTATTAAGAGCTACTATTTCAGAAACAAGCGATTAGGTTTTCTAGAGTAAACCTCTCCTCGTCCCACCTGCCAGCTACTGGAGCTACTGGAGGGATTGTCCCGGGGTCCTTGAAGGTCACTCCTCGTTTTCCTTCTGTCTTTGCCGGTGGCAGTTTGGCCCCAAGCTTACAATTGTTTCCAGTATTAGGAAGCTCTTGGCCGCTGCTGACAGATCTTAATTTGCTCGACAATCGATGCTATGTGCTCGTCTTCCAGGACTGCTCATTTAACCGTAACCGGTCTGGTGGGCCGAGCAGGGACAGGCACTTGGGTCTGACCGCCTGGCCCTCGGGAAGTCACTTACCCCTTTTCTGCCCCTGGGGCTCGGGGGTCCACCCCGCTGCCCGCGGCGGCGGCCTGATGTGCGGGCAGGGCAGCACCCGGGCAGGGTCTGCTCCCTCTCGGGGGAGGCCTGGCGCAGTAGGAGCTCGTCCCCTCGGTACCGGAGACCCCCCGCTTCTCACTCCAGTGCTGGCCTGGGTGCTCGGAGTCATGGAAGAGCCTGGGCTCGGCAAGTCCTTCCTTTGCCGACCCGGGTGCTGGAGGCGGCTGGCGGCCTGTCCCCGGCTCCCCTTCCCCGCAGGGAGCGCAGCTGCGGAGCTGTCCAGCCGGGTGATCCCGTAGCCTTTTCCCGGGAGCTCGCTCCGTCTCCGCTTGGTTCTGTGCCTGTCTGTGGCTTGTCTCTGCCGGAGCAGCTCTGCAGCGATGCCCAGCCCCTGGCGCCACGTTGTGAATTGAAGGTCCCCGTACCGGGCCATCCTGCTTCTGACCCCGCATATGGGAGCTGTGCCTCCGACTTCTGAGGCAGCGGCCTGGGCCGGCGCTGGGAGCGGGTCCTTGCTCCGAGCGGCCCGGGGTCCCTCCGGTCACCCGCTCCGCTCCGTCCCGCAGGCGCAGGGCACAAGGCACAGCGCCGCGACGGCCCCGCAGGGCCCTCCATAGAGTCCTCTCGGAGGCGTCATCAATCCGGATGGTTGGCGGGTCTCACAGGGACTAAGGGCCCCGGCCCCGCTGCCCGGCTGCAGCCCAGCGCCTCCCTCCCAGTCGAGAAAGCCGCAGCAACGCGTGTTTTGCCGCCCGAGGGGAGGGGAGGGGAGGGGAGCGGGGCT